GTGCTCTGAACTGCTGCGAGTTCTTGTTTTGTTTGACGAGCTTCTCAGCTACCGAGTATGTGCTCAGCATCACCGGAAGGAGTTGTCCCCACAGTTTCTGCGACTTTTCTTTCTGTCCCTGGTTTGCATTTCTATTCTTACTGTGAGGGCCCGCTTGCACCAGCTTATGGCTTGCACCCCACGCCTTGAGCATCGCCAGCAAACTCAGCAGCACCTTTAACCGACTAGCAGTGTCACTGGCCTGTTCACAGTATGTGTGCATGTGCTCTACACTGAGACTGTGCAGCTCAGGGACACTCGCGCCTGTCAGGTAGGATGTGATTATCTCTGGTGCATATGCTTCGGTATACATACACAACCACACAACATACAGGTCGGGTAGTATAATTGTGTCTATTTTCGGCTGCTTGTCTGTTTCCGCAGCATTTCCTAAGGAAAGAACTACCGCTTTGAAACCACCCACCCGCAATGTATACGCGCTGAGTTCTTCGTAACCGCAGCAGCCCTGTGTCACCATCTTCAGCAGCTCCACAATCTCCATGTTGACATTTTCGCTGTGCGATTTTTGCTTACTTTCCATATGCGTGGGATCCTTACAACACCCTACACTCGCGACTTCGCTATTACCACCTACACCCGTCTTCTTCTGGCATTTATCACAAAACTCATCTTCAGCCTCGTTCTTCCTTGTAACACCCACCAGGACAATCAATCGTACCAAATCACGCCACAGGCCACAGCCCAGCAGTTCACTAGCCACACTTTCCCTCGGCCCGTGACGCACATACCGGCTGACAATGGCAGTGACTGACGCGACTTCGTGTCGCAGACCAGTGAGTCCTTTGGAGTCAAACACCGTACCCCTACCACTGTTTCCTGTTCCTGCTTTCTCCGCCAGTCTAGCCTGTTTCTTCAACTCCTTTTGATGCAGCAATACGACCGAAATGGCATCGGCGGCCACCTCGGCGAGTGTGGGCAGACACACAGCCACGGCACGCGCATATGCTCTCCAGCCATCATAGGTAACGCATGTCTCACGAGCACCCTGTGCCAGCTTCTGACTGATCCGCTGTGCAGCTCCTTTCCCCTCTGTATCGTCTGCCAATGGCACACACTCGAGGATTGATAGGTAATGAGGCTCGCACGGGAGGCGGTGCTTTCGTACTATGCCCTTTGCGACCTTCCCATAGTCTCGCCGATCTGCCTCGGTTGTATCTCCCACTTCCTCATCAGGTATCAGATGCGGAAGAATATCCTCCACCAACACCGGCCTGGTGCTCATCACAGCCGTGAGCATACCCACACCTTGTGCCACACTGAGTCCTTTAGTTGCACCGTTCTCTGCCCCGTGTATGCTTGTACGCGCCTGTGTATCACCTGCGCTCACGTGCATCTCCGACAGACACGCGATGATCGCCACGAGTGTGTCGGTGACATGCTCTTCCACCCACGCCTGGTGGGATATACACGCTAGGGTGATAGGCGTGACAAAACTATACAGATCCATAAGTTTATGTATGTGAGTGGTCGCTATAGTAAGTGACCTGGTTGGGTCTACTAGCGCAGGACTGGATTCTGCGGGTGAATCAAAATCCTCGAATTCGAAATCACTGCCATCTTCTTCTCCATATGTATGTTCGGTTTGCCCGTTCTGAGAATTTAAAAAGAGATCCAATGAGCATAGGCTGATCACGTACTCTTATTGAGAAGTACGAGCGATAGTTTGAGGAGATCGCATGCCAGCGAAAAGGCCTCTACTCATGCAAAACTGATCACCAGACAAGCTTATATCGGTACATCAATATCTGATATTTGGTACATAAATAGCTTATATCGGTACATCAATATCTGATATCGGTGCATAAATAGCTTATATCGGTACATAAAATGACCATATCCTCGCAAATAGGAGCGTGATTGCGGCACCAAATATATGCACAGCGATTTTTTATATATACGCAAATATTTGACTCGCTTTTTCGGTCGGGGTTGTCATCGCCTAAGTAAAAATTGGCTAAATACACTGGTCACGTACGCCTTCGGGACACATGACTCGTGAGTCTACATAAACTTACACGCGCGCAAAACTGAGAATACATACAAGTTAGACTTACGCCACAAGAGCACGTGGGTATGTATATTTAAAATCTAAGGCCACACGCACGCCGGCTAAACCAGGCAAAGTATAAAATACAGGTATAGTGATTGCTAATACCTCCGGAACTTCAACCACAAGAGTTCTCTCGGTGGTCTCAACTTGGATCTTGTAGCTACGCAGGAGAAGAGCCGCTTCTGTCCGGTCACAGGTCAGTAAGTGCAACAGGCCCTTCAGAACGACCCGATGATATACTTCCCCAAATGACTCGAACCTGGTGTTTGTGCGAATAACAGAAACAGTAAGAGACCGAGCATCGTGTAGGGTAAATTCAATCCGATGCTAGATGGCTGTATGATTTTAAACGCTTTTTAGATTAGCTCGCTCTAGTTCTCCTCAGATACTTTGATTACACGGGAATTTTTATATATTCCAGGCCCCTCAAGCCTGCCTCAGTACCGCAAAAGACAATTGTACGGGTATCGGCACAGTTGCATTCATTGCAAGACATGATACAATCTTAGAGCAGAAGTGTGTCGTCAATGATTCTAGATTTGTCTACCAAGGAATTTGCCGTTCCATCAGACTTGTCAACAAACTTACTCGCACCACTAACAGTTAATTACGCCACCGCCACGCACAAAACATCAAAGATTCAGACACACGAGTTATGTCTAGACTCAGAGCCATTGACATAGTTACTTCCAATTCATCCATGCGCAATTGCAACAATTGCAAGGAGTGAAGATCATGACACACTTCTGTAAGCATAAGTCAGCTCGCTGTACTCTACTGAGGCTTGCTACTACAAGTGACGAGTAATATGGTCGGCAATGACGAAGATCCAATCGACGTACAATAGTGTCGTTATTATAGCCGCCTAGTAGGTACACTTGTTCACTATAGTCTTTTTGTTTAGCAACAGTAAGAAGGAACTTAAGGCAACACGCCGCTTGATATCGCAAGCGACTACATTCTCAAGTAGCTGAGCGCAAAATGCGACAAAACATATTCGGAAAGCACAAGATCAAACACAAACTTCGGACAGACAGTCACATCTAGTCTACGACATACAACGTAATCTAAATACTTGCACTGCAAACAAACACGGACGTTTACACAAGGAAAGATAAAACGACAAGCAGATTCTCCCACGAGCAGGATTTACACCACACGGGCAAATACAATACTTGACAACACACCCTGAGCTGCCGTTAGATTCCTTGATTGCGGCCTCAGTCACGTTGCTGACCAGTGTGCGATTGAATGTACACCCCTGAGGGAGTCCTGACGAACGCCATATATCTGAGTTCAGTAGAGCACGACCGTCGTGCTCCTTGTACTGTGGGAAATCAAAGGAGAGCTTTTGGTACACTTCGCCGGCATCTGGTACGACTACTTTATCTACAAGCTTATCCCCTTCTCCTACAGTTGATCCGTTGATACCCTTGTTACCTTTCTCAGAGTGCAACGTAAACGCACTTTCGTTCATATACTTGCGGAATCTTTGTTCGTCGCAATCAGAAGGTAGTGGAGGATTCGCTATAATATCGTCCGAGATCATTGACTCATCCCCTGTCTGCGGTACGATTGATATATGATCAGGACGTGGAGGAATACCCAACATGCTGTTTTACGCAACTGCAAGACAAATATATGTATACCTTCTTGCTATTGAGTATTAAATATACAAATAAATATGCAAGACTGCGTACATTTGTGTGTACAGTTGTACACACCAATATTTACACATACAAATGTATCCAATTCGTTCATTATCCACTCTGCTAAAAAGAGAATGCAGAATATGAGAATTTGCAGAATATGAGAAAGACATCGATTTGACACTTACTATTTTCACACCATGTGAGAATAATAGATGGGTCCTGGAACAAATTATCTTTTAAAATGGGTTAAAACCCATTATATTCACATGTGTGAAAATAACAAAGAATCCAGAGCATAATATATATATGTATGTGTATATTTTTTATAATATTTAATGTATTCACACTATTCAGCCGATACCAAAATGATGTCTATTTAGAAGAAGGCCGTGAAAATGAGCATATAAATATACATGAAGTCATTTTGACACCTATATATTTACATGCCTCCGACCCTTCGTTACGCAACTGTTTCATAGACGAGTCCGCGTCTCCGTGATCTTCTGATACAATACAGCTGTGTTGAAAAACAGTCAGATAGACGCATGACTATCTCTACTCTACTCTTGAGAGAGAGAGAAGAAGCGAAAATTGGGGCAGACGGACGTCTGTTGTACGAGTCCGTCGGCGTCAAGACTATGTACGATGGTATTTTTTTCTCTCTCGACCATTTGCTTGCAGTAGTGACTATCCTGTCACCTGTGGACAAGGTACGGATTTCAGTACTGATATTTACTCCACTATACTTTAAAACCAAGATCTATTACAGAGGCAACTACAAACACATCAAAATATACTACTGGAGTGGTATGTACAACTTGTGGTGCACCGTATTGTAGAGTAGCCTGACATTCTAGCAATCAACTTCATACTGCACACATATATAAGCACTATACATGATTACGCAAGTAGTAACGAAACATTCTTTGAGATACCAGGAAATAATTACTCATGACAGTCTAGTCTTTATTTTCAAAGTTTTGTAAGTGAATGTAATTTGTACGGGGTTTGAGTAGGGTTTCGAGGTGTCGAGCACGTGCAAGGACATAAATGTACCGTGATCTGTTGTGGAAGGTTGGCTAGCGAAAAGCTTGAATTTACTATCTCACATAGTTGTGCATATGTAGGGCATATACCGGTAAAACGTATCCATCACAAAAAGTGTGTATAGTGAGAATTGTTTTTTGTCGAAATTAACGGCTCTCTTTGTTCTCAACCTGACAAGTTAAGAGGCACACGTCGAGCTTTCTCGTGCCTTGTCGTTTTGTATACGCCCATAGAGCACGCGCACACGGCGTGCGCGGGGAGAATTGCGCACCTATTCTATCTGCTCGCCAAGATACCAATGGCTTGATATTGGTGCGATATGTTCATAGTGTTGAGATTACAAGCCACAAGAAGGTCTTGTTTTAGGTACGATGTACAAAATAAACCATCATATTCACAAATCGAGGGTTGGCGAATGTTAATTCAGTATTGCCAAGCACGTTAAGAGTACATCAAGTAATTTGTACAGTACGCAATCGTAGGAACAAGTATGGTAAAGTGAGAACTTTATTTGGATGAAACTAACGACTCTGCTTTGTTCTCGTTAGATGCGTACATCTAAGCGCTAGATCCATAGATCTGGCGGGTATATGTGGTGAATATATTCCTCGTCATATCAGAACACGAGTAAGTATTTAGAAGTATTACGTCGTGTACATAACACATCTCAGAATATAATGCACAATACACTAAAGTAGACGCGGGTGCGGGGTACGTTTGGTCTGAACAATGAATAACAACAAGTGCCATATATATACGATATGCATATACATATGTACAATTATCCAATCATTTCAGACCTATACCCTCACAACCTAAACGTCCAGTCGTCGTTCATGTGCCGTCAAAGACGGCGGGCCCGGTACTTAGTGCACGGAAATCAAATGGGATTTCACGTACATACTTTACATGATGTATCGCATACCACTCTGCACATGTCACAAATAGTTGCAACGAAGCAAAATAGCAAGAGACTACTATCATCTAGAGATTTCCTCGGCGACCCTGTTCAATCTCGATAGACTCGAACAAAGCTTTGAAGTTTCCGGCTCCGAAACCTTCGAAATTGTGACGCTGTAGGATCTCAATGAACAAAGTGGGGCGATCTTCTACAGGTTTGGTAAAGATCTGCAGCAGGTAGCCATTCTCGTCGAAGTCAATCAGCAGCTGCAACTTCTCCACAATATCCATATCCTCTTGCACTTTGAGGTTGGTCATTTCCAAACGAGCCCTCAAGTTTTTGTAATAAGCAGAGGGAATGCTCAGGAACTCAACTCCACGGTCGCGCAGACGTTGTACATCGCCGCAGATATCGTTTGTGCGCAAAGCAATGTGCTGCACACCGGCTCCGCTATTGAATTCTACATACTCTTGGATCTGACTCTTCTTCTTTCCGTTAGCGGGTTCGTTGATGGGCATCTTCACAGTTTCACTGTAACTAGCCATCACAATAGACCGTAGCGCACTATATAGGAAAATATTGACGAGAGAATGAGACGAAGATACCAGTGTAAAATCCATTTGTGTGGAATTGAATATTCGTATTACTAAAACACACAGTTTGAATCACTTAAAGACTTCACACTAACAAGAGTACGAACCTGAATTCGGTGTGCATTTGACTATCATCGACAGACCAGAAGCGATGGAATTCCAGAATATTTTCGTACCTGTTTGAAAAGAGAGAAAATGTTAGAATCTTCGAATATTGTTGCTTTCCACAAAATAAATAAATAAAGTTTACACCAAAATAGCGGAGGAAATCGATGAACATACCATTCACAAACGGGAACCATGCCCTGGTCAGGCATATTTCCAACGCAATGGTCGATGTGAGTAAGGCTGACGGGAGGTAGTAGCTTGTTGATGGGATCAGGCTTTAGCGTGTTGTACCCAGGCAGGAAATGGCCCGCAGGTGGGTTGTACTTCGATCTGTCAACGAATGTGTGCACTGTGTCGCCGTAGGTTTGAATGGTTGCCATTGTCACGGTACCGAACTCATCAGACTCTTCCCATGGCTCACGTACAATCTTTGCTCCGCGAGATTTGGCTTTCTCGAAGATTCCAACTGCATCCTCAACAAGGAACGCGACATCCTTGACAGCATCTCCGTGCAAGTATTGATGATCGCTCATTTCCTGGTTGGGTGCCAAAGGTGTCTGGAATACGAATGTAACCTTGTCCGAACGGACTACATGCGAGCATACATCACGGTTTCCAGTCTCCAGACCTCGGTAGGCAATAGGTTCAAAGCCGAAGCGAGAACAGTAGTATCCTGCTGCTTGTTTGGCATTACCACACCAGACTTTGATATGATCAAATGCGATGAAGTTTCCGGTTTCGGGTTTGGGTCCTTTGCTTTCGTAAGAAGTCTATTATGTGCAAGGAAGGTGTGTACAAGTGAATAAGCTATTAAGTGAATTGCTAACAACCGATATGAATATGGCTGAACACCAACCAGTTGCCCATCCGGAGAAAGTGTAAATCTCATAACAGATAGTAAACAAACTGAGACATTATCAAACACACTGTAAAAGGCGAATCGAAACAAACTATCATACTTACCATTGTGCTAGGTTATATTAGGTTAATTTGTCGACTGGTTTGTTGTCACTGATAGCTACGTTCGTTCTAGAAGTGAGTCTCAGAATGTCTCTTACGGAGGACATGCAAATCTCTTTTATATCTTCTCGCTGGATGAATTCGCACCCTCTCTCTCTTGTGTCGATATTTTTTACAAGTGTCAATGTAGGGAAGACATTAGACGGTCACGGGTCACCACTACCGCGACGTCCAATATACTCTAAAATACCCAGTATTCGAAACTTGTGAGGTGATTGGTAAGCGATTACAAATGCAAACTACGTTGTAATGGATATTGATTGGCTACTATAACTTCTGGAATCTTGTCCGCATGAACTACAACTGTGATTGAACGAAAATTTGGTGCTGAGTTTCATAATTTTTGAGATAATTTAAAACATTTAAAAAACCCCTATTTCAAAACCAGATTCCGTGTCGTGTGCCTCAAGTTTTCAGTGTCGTAAACTCAGGAACATGCTTTTTATATAAAAAACAATTGACATTTGATATTTTAACTATTTCAAAATAAAGTATATTTTAAATAAATACGACCACATCCGAACATCACCCGAGGAATATTTGCTTTTGCTTGTCTCTTTTTAACTCGCGGATAGTATCCGGATTTCAATTTTTTGGCCCAAAACAAACAAGTGGAATTCGGATGCTATCCTAAGCCTCTAAAGTCTAAGGGGTACTTTATATAAAACCAACCGATTGTTATATTTATTTAAAAAAAAAAGTTAGAATATCCTACTCTCTCTACTAGCAATAAGAATTTGAATTTGAATTTTCAAACGTCGGACACTATCCGACTTGCACAAGGCAATAAAATAATATGTTTCAATTTTAGTAGTATAGGACTATAGGCTATAAATTTTAGTTGGTATTGTCGTTTCCAGATATTTGTTTATGATTTGTACTGAAGTCGGATACATACTATCTGCGAGCGCAAAAGTGAAAAGGGGGTGGGGAGTGGTGAGTGGTGACTGGTGTTGACTATTAAAATGGGAATATGGGTACATATTTATGTCAGTATGTATTTATTTATCATGGTTTGTTTGAAAAAAAAACTCGTTTTACTCTTGTTTTGAAAAAAAATAGTGTTGAAAAGAAAAAGTCACAGCCGGTGTAAAACCCCATCAGGCTGTGGCAGAGCGAGCAGAGTGCAGAACTGCAGACTGCTGTGAGTAAAAAGGGCCCTGCGCCCTGCGGGTTAGCCGTAGAGAATACCTTCACCCACAAGAGAGGGCCAAGAGAGAAGAGAAGTGCTGAGTGCTGAGTGCTGAGTGCTGAGTGCTGAGTGCTGAGTGCTGAGTGCTGAGTGCTGAGTGCTGAGTGCTGAGTGCTGAGTGCTGAGTGTTGAACTGCTGAGTGCTGAGTGCTGAGTGTTGAACTGCTGAGTGTTGAACTGCCGACTGCTAACTGATGTGGCCTAACTCTGGCCTGTGAGACTGCTGAGGGCGTGAAAGGTCGAACTCTGAAGTATGAATAAGTGAACACTGAACAGTGATCAGCTGAGAGGTCAAGTCTCCAAGAAGAAGAAGAAGAGTTCAAGTCCAAGACTCGACTCAAAGAGGAATAGCCTCGGGAGTTGGGCCGTGTCGGGAGTCGGGAGTCGGGAGTTGGGAGTCGGGAGTTGGGAACTGGGGGAGTTGAGGCGCGGGTTTCCACGAGTCCACAGTCTGGGACTCTGGGACTCTGGTCAGCCTCTGGGCAGAATCCAGTCTCCACTAACCCTCTCTCTCTAGAGTCTCCAATCTCCACCTTGGTGCGCGACTCTTCCCTATCTCATATTAAGTGAGCCTGAGCCCTGGCCCCTGGCCCCGGGGCCTGAGGCTTTGGGCCTGAGGCTTTGGGCCTGAGGCCCCTGACCTGCGCCCTGAGGGCTGAAGGTGCGTCCGCTGCTGCAGTGAGTCGACCTATGCGCGGGCTTTATATATATTCTCTCCTGTTCTATATTTATAAAATCAATGACGCCCGGTTGACGCTTCAAGACTCAAATTCTTAGTTGTTGTAGTCGGACTCCGGAGTTCGCGTATACATTCTTGTTGTAACGTTGTTTACGAGTTTCTTTTTGGTCTGTTACTCTTTACTCTCGCACGAGTGGGCACGAGAATCAAAATGCTGAATGCTCAATGTTGTATTCCACACTCGTTCACCCACAATTTTAACGCATACCTATAAATATGCTATTTTACGTAGACAACGACGTTGTGAGTTACTCCGTGATTGGGCATATTGACGAATAAGTGATGGTCCGGGAAAAACGTATGCATACAAATTTGGTCGAAATTTGGGACTGCACTGAAGGTGTTTCATCGTGCCTGTAGGTGTTTGAATTGCACAAGCTTGCTTGCAACTATTGCTTTCATACTTTAATATCGTATGTGCATATCGTATGTGCATGTGTTTTTAAAAACATTTGGGAAAAGAGGACAAAATTGTATTTAGTACTGGGGTTTCAAGCTACTACATACTTTTACATTTTTTTGTGTGAATTGTAAAATTCGAGCACCATACTTCAACACGTACAACGATCTCGAACGCGCGTGTACAAACCTATGTATATGTGCTATATCCTTGAAAAGAACACATTTTTTGCGCATGC